CTGCTGTCGACACAGCGCCCCCTGCTGGACCAGGACGGGGGAGCCCTGCTGTCGACACAGCGCCCCCTGCTGGACCAGGACGGGGGAGCCCTGCTCTAGACCCACCTGATGGACGCCAGTGTGGCACAGCTGTGTAGAATGGTGGACTAGCTTGTTGAGGATCACAGACCAATTGATGGGGACATCCAGTCGTGAGATGAGTCCACTTGTAGTGACTGATGGCAGCCTGACTGCATGGAGCTTCGTTGTTCAAGTCCCTGGGAACTCACTTTTTGGCTCACCTGAACGTCTGTGGAGTGAGCTGGGAAGACGTGGTGTGTCTACTCTAGGGTTCAGAGACCAGTCAATAGGCTTTATACTGACCAGGCTTTATGACAGGAGTAGGAGAAAATCCTGCAAGACCTCAGGTGCAAACTGCATCACAGAAGTACAGCTTGTATCGGTTCCAGAAGTGACCGGCTGTGAGTACCCCAACAGACCTCCTGCTGATGAAACCATCCATCCATTTTCGATCCACTTTATTGATTACAGGGTTGCAGGGGGCCCAGAACCTATTCCTGATAATGAGTTTGTTGCTTTGTGAGGGTGAAGTTCCTTTCGAGGCGCACGTATTATTGCTAGAAGAGCGAAGTAGACCTGCAATATTACTTCTTCCCGCCTGAGGTCGCTGTTGGTCCAGATATAAACTCCTGTTTCTTCCAGGAGTCACTTGAGAGGAAAACGTTTTGCATCGTATTTTTATCATTTATATTTTAATGATTTGTGTCGCAATTACAATGTTACTACCTTTTAATTTTGGATTTTATTTTGCAATTAATGCAGACAGGTCTCAAAACTACACAAACGAAAAGTATTACAAAAACTATGTTGACTTTCCTGTGCAATTTCGTTTACTTCAGCACATAAAACTTAAATATCTGTGATAACTGAATCTGTGGTGTTAAGTTTCGCCCCGTTTGATGATCTTTTTTTATAAGAGAAATATCACACAAATATATCAAATGATGGAGTTGTTTGTCTTGCAAGTTAGGATTATACAATTTAATGGGTCAAAAAGCGGTACTGGAGCACAATATCAAGTCTTCTGTCGAAAATCAAGGTGACCGAAGAGGAGCTTGTTTACTTATTGAGACTAAAAGAAAAGTCAATCTTAAATAGAACCTATTAAAACACAAGAACATTTTGACTGATTCAGCAGTTTCCACTGCCGGTGTTCAGTATAGGCCTGCGAAGGTTGTCTGTGTTTCATTGTCCGATGACTCAGGAGGGTCTCAACATATGGAGGCAAAACTGCACTGGAAGCAGAGTGCAGGAATGATCTAATACAGGAGTTCCCAGTCCTGGTCCAGGACTCCACACACCTGGTTTTCCTTCCAACCAAGCTTAATTACTTAATTGAAGTCTTGAATGCATGAACTGTTCCGTGGTGGAAGTACAGGCTCTCTTGGCTCTTCCAATGCAGCCAATGATAAGGGGGTTTCTGCAATCCAGTGGAATTGCAAGGAGAGAATCCCCTTCCAGCTCTTATTTTAGGACAAAGCAGCACAGATTTAGGGCTGACGTAATACAGCATCAAGGGGTATTTATTTTTATTTTCAGAGCTGGCATTTAATTACATTGCTGTAAATGCCTCCACTTCCTTTGCATTTACCAGAAAATGTTTATGGCGAGATTTCCTTTAGGAGGGGTAATGTCTCTTCAGCGTTGTCTAAAAATAGTGGCGCCCAGCTCAAGTGCTGGAAGGCTGCAGTCCAGCCTTTAAATCAGCAGTGCTTGGGGAAGAGGTGTTAACGTGGTCCGGTTAGGCCAGCAATTCGTTTAACTGGGTCATTCAAATTGTGAAAGAACACAAACCTGTAGAGACAGTGGCTCCTGGGAGTATAGGTTGGGTGCCCCTATTCTAAAACCTCTTTATTAGTAACTCCTGATTTGTATTATAACTTTTGACAAGTGATGAATTAAAAAAAGTGTATTAATATAAATCTTATTTTTCCATAGCCTTATTAAAGAAAGCGATTTCTTAGATTAAGGCAGCCATAGTCCCTAGGAGCAGATAGATTTTCCGTTTCGTCTTCCAGATGATCTTTAGAAAGTGGTGATTTAGCGTTGACTTAAATACTTCAGGATCAGCTGGAACAATGACGGAGTGGACTGGAGTGGCTGACTCCTGACCTAGAACTCTTGAATTCTGGGGGAAAGGGAGGTATGCAAGAATTTTAGGATTGTTAGTTGTCTTTACAGTGGTTTGTTGAGACTGAATGCGTCAGTCACCAGCCATTTGAAGCTAAAATTGTCCAAGATCAAGGGGAGTAAACAGCAGCAAATAGGCTTAATGTTTAGCATAGTAACATATTGAAAGACATGCATGTACTGTGTTTCTGCCCTTCATGATTTATCCTGGAATAATAACAAGTTCATTTGTTCATAGAATGTTAAAAAAGGAGATATGTCTCTAGAAGGTCCTTTTTTGTGTTTCTTCTTAATTGGTGTGCATAAATTTGACAGTACACAGGCCACAGAACATACCATACAATGTTGGAATACTCACCTGTGGAGTAATGCAAGGAACTGTGCATGTCTCAGAGAATGCGATTTGTCCCACAATCCATCCAAGGATTCAGATCTGAAGTTTTTCTTTAAATCTGAAGTCCTGTCCTGGGGGAACTGGTTCACTGCAGCGGACGGATCAAAATTTGAGGTGCCAATTGCAGAAACCAGGAGCTGCTGTGCAGCCTTGTCCGTGTTGGTCTTCGATAAATCACTGGTGACACAAGGAAAACAATGAGCGTGAGATGTGTACGTGGCAAACCACGGTTCCCATTTAATCACAAACAACTGTGAAACGTTGAATTCCAGAGCAGGGCTTCTCAATGAGCAATCCTGACCGATCTTTGGCAGTTTCCTTGTCGGTCTGTGTGAGGTTTCATTTCAACACAGTTTTAAGGGGAAAAGTTTGATGAAATGTGTGTGTGTTTATTGGTCAGAAAACCCCCACCCTGCTCTTCAGCATTCTTGTGCTCTGCTTCATTATCTCCGCTCTGTAATGGAACATGAGCAGACGTTGAGCCACTCTCACCTCTGTCGGTCGTATCTCCTTATGTACATACTCTTCAGTTTTATCCAATTTTTAAATAAAGTTAAATGTTGTAAATTTGCAGAGGTGAGGGTTTTTTTGTCTCTCCTGCAACCTGCAGCACACTGCTTAGCAAGTGTGTGGAACAGTGGCCTCTGTCTGCCCTCCAGCCTGACAGTTCAGGGTAAAGTTGAGGTTGGGTTCAAGTGAGGACTCTCCTCTAGAATGCTGGCTGTTGCTTCGGTCATTGATGCTTTAAATATTGTTTTAAAACACACTAAATGCTTAAGCATTGCTCTGTTGGATTTGGCTTCAGAATCTTCTTCATCTGATTTGGTTGAGACAGTTTAAAATTAAAATATTGGTAAACCTTTGTTTTTATGCTGTTATTGAACAAGTGGGACTTCATAAAGTGGTGCGCGTTGGGCGCTGTCATTGTGTATATTTTGTTTGGGGTGTTCGTGATTTAATTTGCCTGTTTCAGAATGTTCAGCTTTTCTATTGACCACATGTACTGTACATGTTTATTTCGTATGGAGCATTAGCATGTAGGGTTCACATGGAAAAGGTTATATGATGATATCCAACCATAATGAAAACAGGCTAGGATGGCCTGGACTTTAGAAAGATCAGGCACCCCGGGACATTTCAGAAAGGCAGTCAGTCAGCCTGTCCTTGACATAAAAAATATTGAGAAATACGGTCATAGATCAGTATTCCTAATCAATAAGAGCTATAATACAGTGTAGTTACAAAGCCAACATCATTACTGAAGTACTTCTAAAATGCATTATAATACATTACAATGCCAGTTACATTACATCTGCAATACTGTTGACTACTAGCATTACTAAGCTTCAACAAAATTAAGCTATTATTGACCAGCTGTGGAAAAACCAGCATAATAATGCAAACTGTTTCTGAAAGGGTTACTAAGGACCAATTATGGTACAAATCAAACCTGTTAGCTTTTTAAATGCAATTTGTTTTGGAACAAATTTGTCACAGAATGACCCTTGAGCAATATTTGTCAGTCTCAATAATGTTAACATCAGTGCAGTTAGTTGCATGTCTTGCACTTTTCTAAAATGTTCTTGAAGATTTGTTCACTCTTGGACAATGTAGTTATTAAGTTCTTGTACTCTGAAACTTGCTTTGCATTGATCTAATTGTATTTTTTAAGATAAATGCATCTTTCTGTGTTTTTCTGCAGGATACGCACTGGTCAGCCTCTTCCGTGGAGTTATATACAAGATGAAATCGCATTTTTTTTCAATTGCTCTTTATCCCATTAGTTCTGTTAACGACATTGTTTTGAAATAACTACTTATTTTACTACGAACTAGGAGTTAGGCTCCTGCTTCCGGCTCAAAGCCACTGTAAGTGTCAGGGTGACTGCCTCAGTGCCAGACAGACTAATAAGAGCAGGTGGAAGTGTAGGGCTGTGAAATTCAATAGCGCAGCTGTCTGCATTTCCAGTAAAGGAGAAGGGGTGTGCCATATTGGCAATGGGAGCCCGTATTGTAGTTAAGCCATTCTTCCTGAACTGCTGGCACCCTTCGTTGACAGGTTCCCCTTATTAATTGCAAAGGGCTACTACTATTCAAATTTTTTTAAATATGCATTAATTTATTTTACTCTTGTAAAAGCCTTTTAGTATTATAAAACTTTTACCATACTAATATTAACCAGTTTTTATTTAACTCATTGATTTAACTCATTTATCATGTTATTGGTATAATTCCTAGTTAAAATCTAATTGTGTGTGCTTGCTTTGAAATAACGAGGACAAATGCGTACTTGCATGCATTGGTAGAAGGTATTGCACATGAATGTTGATTATGCTGAAATGGTGCAGAATAATATTGGAATTGTTGCACCTGAAATTGCTCAGTAATGGCATAGCCAACATAAAGTGTAGGGTGTTACAGTTACAGTTGTGTGCACGCGTATGCCTCAATGCAGAATTGATTAATTAAATCTTTCTAAAGAGGGCTTGAAATAGTTTTATAGCATATTTAATTGGAATAAATGAATAACGTTTTTGGCATGCTTGCGTGGCTTTGATTTTTCTTTGTTTGGAACTTCCTTAGGGTGTAATGCAGCACAATATCTAAGTGCTCTGTGAAACTTCTTCTGAGTATTGTGACTTGGCATCGTTGCCTTACGCAAAACCACATTAGCTGTGGCTTTGCCAGCCTTTCTGTGCCCATTCCAGCCTCAATGCATAGGATGAAACTCTTGGGGCTCCTGGGTTTTTCTTCTTGAAGCCTGTTTTCCTCGCTCTGTGCCTGATCCTGGTACCCCCATTCTGCAGGGTGGGGTGCTTTCCAGAGAAGCCACAATAGAGCCGGCCGAGCACAATACTGGACACTGGCGAGTTCCTGCTCTCTCCGTGCGACACAGTACTTCTAAGTTTGTGGCGCATAATGGATGTATTATCCTCTAGACCCAACCTTTCGTTCCTACAAAACAAAAAGTCACATACTGTGCTCACCGGAAGCCCGTATTTGAAAGAAGCTTTTTTTTTTTCAACCTCAGTGTTGCCGTTAATCAGCGCCTGCATTGTCTGTGTACTTTCTTTTTCTCCCAAGAGGGCCCAATCCTGGACAGTCATCAGAGATGCATTGTGCTTTTTCCAAAGCTGGGGGCCCATGTGTCCTCTCCAGGCCTGTAGTTCAACACGACTACTTCCCTGTTCTCAGAACTAGTCCCGTACCCTCAGGAATTGTGCAGTCTCGCCGATTAACTGGCTGGAGCCCTCACGCTACCCGGCTCTCAGAGCTCCCATCGCCTCGTCCCCCTGTCTGTTCAGTATATGATGTGTTCAGTCATTGACTGGCTTACAGCACCTTCGCAGTGAAACTCTCACTCTGTGTCCTCTCCTCTGTGCTCAGTCTTACCTTAGAGCCATTCGGGCTCGTCGGTGTGCCTTATCGGTCAGGAAGGTGTTGGCACATTGTGTAATGTGGTGACCTGCAGACGTTGGCTGCTTGTTTCAATTTATCGGCAGTGGCCTTATCTCAGGGCAGTGACCTGACCCTGCCCTCCTGCATAAAGGATTTTGCAGTGCATGCTGTCACATGCGTGGCCTGTCTGTCTGGACAGAGGGGTCAGCTGGTACAGTATCTGGCTCCACTGGACTGTTCGTTGTCCTCCTGAAACAAAATGTTACAAAATCATCCCCACATTGCTTATGATACCACATATTGTGAGGAGAAGTGGTATTTTCCATTCCCCTGAGAGCATGTTTTCTATGAAATTTCCCTGAAGCAAAGTCCTTGTAAACTCACAATGTTTACACGTCTTGTATCATCCTGTGAACATCAGCAGAATCTGGCAATAAAACACAACCTTGAGTTTCTGGTCTCTCTTTGGCTGTAAGTCTCTTTAAGAGTTAAAACTGTTGTTTGTTTGACAAAAAAAAAAGAAATATGTAACGTAACTGGACAGTGCCCTTAATGATCATTTTGCTTGCAAAATTTGGTTGTCATTTTAGCAAAAGTTTACATATGATATGGCTACTTACCTTTCAAATAGCCTTGAACACGTTTTACTGCCATCAGAGTCTTGTACGGAGATCCCTTTCGCCATCTGGTGGTTGCAGTTGGAAGTTCACACATTTTTGGTAGTGTTCTTCAGTGGGGGCAGGCGGCGCCCAGTGGGGATCCTGGGGATTTAAAGACCAGTGGCCAGGTTCCACACCACCCACGTCTTTCCTGGCAGAGCTGCAGCCTTGGAATCATCTCCCTTTGCCCTCACAGGGTATGGCTGGCACAGATGTGAATGCAGACCTGTGGTAAATATCTGGTCACTGCAAGCTGAAGTATGGCCAAGGTTTATGGTGCCAAGAAGCATGAGCTCATGCCCTGGGCTGCGCCAACATGCTCCTTCAGCAATATTGCATTAAAAAAAAAAAAAGATTCTGAGTGACATTCACTTGACTTTTCAGGAGAACCTTGCCTGTCGTCTTACGGTAAATGTGGGCCATCATCTTAAAGCTTTAATAACAGAAGTGTCTGACATGTTCCTCTTATTTGAAAGTTGACACTTTCCTTTGCTCAGCCCTTTCTTTATAAGGCTGACAAATGCGTATCCTGTACTCATATTTATTTCCCTGTACATCAGGCAATTATTTCTGCTAGTCCAAAACACGCTCCTGTTCTCCTTGTGTGTGGTGTCAGTATGAAATATCTGATCTGCTTGGAACATTTTATCTCCGAAGAGATCCTGAGAGTCGGAGCAGTGCACACTGTACAAGGATATTGGCCCATGCCTCTGCGCTGCAGCTTTCTGGTCAGACTTGGGAGAGCATGCATCTGTCCGATTCCAAATCTTTATCAGATCTGTTCTGTGTCATGGCAACATTACCCCTCTTATTTCACCTGCTCGCGGCAGATCGGTCATTCATTCAAACCACCAGGCTCTCGATTTAGACAACGCGTTACAGTTTACTGTACGTCGTGCGGTGTGAAGGCACAGCAGAAGGTCTCCAGACGTAGACCCTGTCAAGTGGTCTGCTTTTTAAGAAATCTAGCTAACGCGCCACAAAGAGAGGACGCGAGACAAAAGCCACACAGGAAGCTCACTTATATATTTATAATATATTTTTTTTTTCCCCGAGAACGTTTACAACTCAAGTAAAACAAGCGGCAGCTTACTGGGTTCAGCGAAAATCAGGAAGCTTCTGAAAGTTTTGCGGCTGGTATAGATGGGGAGAAATTTCGAGAAATCGATACACATCTGTGCAAAAAACTGTCTCTCAACATGGAAGTAAACAGATCGTGCTAATTGTGTTTCATGCAGCTACTGTGCTGGTGTTCAGAGGAGTTTAAAAACACTGTGTACTCGATGTGCAGAAACGCACACGACCACAAAATAAGTGCACCGTATGCACACGGAGCCTACGGAAGGATGCAACGACTTCATGACTTGAAGAGCCTCGTTATTTTTAAAAACGAAGTCTGAAGACATGCTTAGCCTTACAGATTCCAATACACACAGGTAGACGCGCGCTCCTGTGAGTGTCGGGAGTTAATACTGCCACACGCGTTGTCGTCCTCCACCCACTCAGACACGCATGCGCCCACACAAACTTTATCACCAAAGACAGATACTTTCCGCGTCCCTTTCTCACTTTGTCACACAAACCTGCACCCCATTCATGCAGGTGTTGCTCTGTGGGGTGGTCAGCACGCCACTGACGTGGGCTCTCGTTGACTTGCACGACCAAGCCCTTAAGAAAGCGTGCTTGCAGCTTTGTTCAGCAGTGGTGCATGCCCCGATCTGGGACAAGGGCAGGTGTTCACAGCACGCCGCGGTTAGACGCATCGCGGAGGGGAGTGTGGTTTGTTACGAGAAGAGCTGACAGCTAGGTAACGCATGGTAGAACGACAGAGATAAATTGGTGGCTGACAGGACCCTAAAGTTCAATATTGGGTCATGCTCTGCCAGGAAGAGCATGAATGACAGTAATCACCCGTGACCTGAGCAGTTTTGCAGGTCCCCCCGGGCAAGGCTGCACGCTGTAATTGGCATGTAAACTCGTGTGGCTTCTGTGAAGACTGCGTTGTGCACCATCCTAGCTCACAGCTCAGAACCTGGAGAATTTCATTCATTTACAGAAGGGCTTCCAAAGCCTGCTGGCCTAGTGCATTCTACCCTAATTTATCAAATAAAAAAAAAACACGGAAAAATTGCAAACGTGCATGCTGGGGTTGGGTGGTTTGTTGTTAGGTTAGTAGGGTATCATCAGGTTGCCTGTGTGTTTTTGAAAAAGGCTGCGATAAAAACGAACCGGCAGCTTGCATGCATGTGTGCCAGTTTTGAAGCAGGACTGTAATAGGGACTTTGAGGGTGGAGTGGTGGCTCTGTGGCTAAGGATCTGCGCCTGTTGGTTCAAATCCCGCAGCCGGCAGAGGAATCCTACTCCATTGGGCTCCTGAGCAAGGCCCTTAACCCCAACTGCTCCAGGGGCGCTGTACAATGGCCCTGTCTGTGTGTCTCATGGAGAGCAAGCTGGGGGATGTGAAAGATAATTCCTAATGCAAGAAATTGTAAAGGTTAATAAAGTGATGTTATTATTATTATTATGATTAATAACCCGTGTCACAGAGGCGTGCTTTGGGGTGCACAGCGCAGCCCGTCTCTTCTGCCACTAGGGGTTCAAGCACGGCGAGCCAGAGAAGACTGAATGAGATCATGGCGAGTAATTTTAGGATCTCCACAGTGACATGTTTCGACAAATACCAGGCACCATCGACATTGCTCAAATCCAGCTAAAGTTAGTTTGCACTTAATAAACACCCTTTAAGGATTATCACAAGAGAGAGTTCTGTTCACATTGATGGAAGAAGTGCCTGTTCATATTGGTGGAATACCCTAAAAAGAGATCAGAGATTAGCTGCAATTTGCAGGTTTATAAATAGCACTAAGTATTCCGGTAACACAGGCAGGTACATACTGGCATAGTTAGAATTACACCTGAACCATTTCCTTTTCAGTAAGGAAGCAGCAGCAAAGAAAAAAAAACAACACTTACTACACCATAACCTTTAGAGCTGATGGGAACAGAGCAAGAGTATATATTTCTGCAGCCTTTTGTATGTGTTCATGAGCTTTTACGCTTACATCTCTGTGTATTTAACTCTACATTTTGTACATGTGCATTGATGAATGTTTCTGCACAATCTAAGAACTTGGGTCTCTCAAAAAAGTTTTCTCCAGTACCTTATGTTTGCAAAACAGAAATCCATTTTTTAAAATAAAAAAAACACTTCCTTTCCCATCATTGGCAGTTTGCATATTTCAGAGTCAGCAATCCCCATGAAAGCTATTTTTAACATGGAGTCAATACACAAAAGATAAAAAAAAAAATGCTTGCAAAATAAATCAAAGAGGCCACTGTTATGCTGGTGTTTGGGTTGGACCTGCAGGAAAATGAACAAGGCATTTAAAAGTGTGTGATCTTAAAACGGGGATAAGGTTTAATTGCCTTAGAGGGAATTCAAGTAAATGCAGTCAGATATGCTCTTACTCAAGTTTCAAACAGCAGGGGCTCAATGACAACATGTCATCTTAAGCTTTCAAGTGGGTGGACAGGAGTGTGTGCGGTTCTCGTTTGGCTGAGTCCATTGTCCACAGCAGTTCGAAATGGTAGCAATTATCAAAGCTGTTTTCCAGTGCATGTATTAGCCTGCGCAAAGAATAATCTGACTTCTCTTTTGAGTGCTTCAGTTCGTCTACTGCAGGCCCAATGAAGTATCAGTGATTAGTCTGTAATCATCGTTGCTACCTGATCCACTGTGGCACAGTTCTCTGAAGAGCTCCTGGAATGACCTCACTATAGAACAGCTTGAGTTTCTCACACCAGGCCAGACAGATTGAATTCTCCTTCACAGAGCACTCGGCAGCCTGTCTGAGAGCCAAAACAGAGCTTTCCGAGAATCCACTGCCGGAGTTAGCGTGCCCTCGCCTTTTCAGACTCAAACGAGAATAAACTCTTGGGCGGCGCTTAGACCTTCAGTACCGGTAACTCTCTTAAAATCACATGCTCAGAGCACCAATGTGCCTAGATCTGATGTTTGTGCAGTAAAGTGTATTTTGATAGCTGTGTCCTACAGAACCATTTTTTGTTAATGCCCTGGAATAAAGATAGACATGATCTACTGGATCATACAATACTTTTATGTAAAATGTGATGATACTTTACGACCCGATTTCTCAGGAATTTGTTTTGCATCAAAGCAGCTATGTTTTACTCCCACAGAAACATACAAGACAAACAGCACAAGTAAACACAACTTTACAAATGTTACTTTACATCACAGACATGTACCCATACATATTCATTTCACATCCCTCCTACAGTAAACCACACAACTGCACCAGAACCCTAGAAATGTACTGCCTCCACAATTACACTAACCCCCAATAATTTCACATCACATCACAGAGCAACAGATTATTTTGCAAGAATCCGAGTAGCTTAAGGGAACTGTACCAGCAGATGAGAAAACTTTCACGGTTAACTAGATTTCAGTGTGTAACTAGTTAGATTAAAATGTGAAGTGCTTGACTTTTGTATGTAAGATAAGACTTTGTAAAATGTAAAGCAAAACAATACATCACAGTTTCATTTATCTATGTGCCTGCATTCTGAATGCTTCATCTGCTCTGTGGCCTAAGTGGCAGGGACGTCCTGGAAATATTGTCTGTCTCCTTGAATGTGAACATGTGAATCATTCTCAAACCAATGTCAAATACGCGTTTGAAGCTTTCCAGTACGGACATTTATGACAGACTATATGCTGAGGTGAATAATCTGAAGGGATTACTTCCTCAATCACATGCCAAGGCAAACCTGCTCATGTGTATGAGCATCTGCATCTATCGTTCTGTCCAAATGTTCACATAAATTCAGTGAAATGTAAACTTTAATGTAGTGAAACCATTCCTTTAACACGTTTTACACACTGTACATGTTACAATTTATTCAACTAATCACCTTTTCAGCGTGCATTTTAAGTACTGTTGTTGTACCAAATTTCTTGTAAGCATCCCAGCGGTGTAACATTCTTGGATTCCTCTTGCTGTTCTCTGACACTGGGTGATCCCCATATAAGGTCAAATGCATTCCTGACAGGACTTTGTGGTGGTGATTCATGAGTTTTAAGCTTCCACCTTGGTTTATTTAAGGCCAAGCTTTAATTAGAGTAGATTATGTTGTCTTTATCTTTCTGGAAAAATGCAGGTCCCAAAAATGGCCAACAACTTGGCTCTGCATGAAGACTATGTGTATGTTCATGCAGGTGCTTTTATACACGAAAGTATATGTATAAAAAGGCAAAGAGCCAAAAAAAAAACAACCAATG